TAGTTTCAACTTTCTTGTTTTCATCATGAGAATCTTGTATTAAGTCCTGCAAGAGATTATCAATATTTTCTTGAAGGTCTGTCTTCAATTTCTTGTTTTCTGAGGAGAGTTATTTGACCTCCTTTTCCAGTTCCCTTATTCTCTTTGATAGGATAAAGGATTGAATGGTTCACCCGAGCCGATACTAATGCTTTCTTCCTCTATTGTAGAGGCAAATTTTTTAAAATTGAAATTGATAAAAATTAGCTCAACCATTTTGATATTTACAACAAACAAGTAAAATTCCAATTTACTGAATAAAAAAAATTTCAGAAAAAATATCACCGTGTCTTGCCTTAATAACCACTTGATGACAATAGTTGAGCCTAAACACTATTCCATTCCGTTCAAAAAGGAGCAAAAGTACCAAATACCAAAATGAGAGCAGTCTTTTACACTTTGACTTAACGTTCTCACTGGATGATTTTCCGTTTTATGACATTTGCTAGAAACATGTTACAATTTATAAAAGCAGTGGTTGAGAAAAGCAAATCCGAAACCTTCAAGCATGATCTTCGGAATTTTTTCACCACAACGGCGCTAGATTTTGTTTTCTATTCAAACAAGGGTGAGAATGTGGGTTATTAAACTAAATATGAAACTTTGACCACTTTACAACAGTATCTTGAAGGAAAGAAAATTGAGAACACCCAAGAAGCGAAAGAGATTATTAATATTCACAAATCTTTGACATATTTGCAGGAAATAAGTGCATGAAGAAATCACAAGCAAAGATTAGATACATCATTCCATTTACCTCGATGAGAATATTATTCAAGAATGTCATTCAATTTTATAATGAAAGACATCATGGACAGCAATGGTGAATATAGATATAACTCCGCTTTTACTGCTCGGAATAACCAATCTCTCCACTATTTTGTTGATCCTGAGCTAATATCAAACCGTTGCACAGGACTCATTGATTATTATAACACTGTCGTTCAATCTATAGATGCTTCTAATTCTGAAAATTTCTTTAAATTGGCAGCTCATTTGGCCTTTAACTTTTTTGATACCCATCCATTTTCAGACGTTAATGGTAGAATGTGCAGAATGTTGACCAATCATGTACTTTCGTTTACATTTGATAACAAGACTAGGTGTAGAGATGTGTACATTGAGGCAATAGAAAGATACTCCATCCAAAGGATTTGACATTTTTTTTGATTGAAAATGCTTATCAGTCATGTGTTGACTTTGTTAATTCTTTTGACGATCAAAGAGGTGGTCTCGTTTGCTAATGATCTCAATAACTATCCTTTATCAGAAGAGGAGAAGAAAACCCTTTCTGCTTTGCAACCTGGTTACATACACTTATGTAACCAACAAGCATCAGTTTATCAAAACTCTCGATCCTAACAATTCTCTAAAGACAAAATTCAAATCTCTCAATTTCAGAAAAACAAATAAAAAAGAGGAATAATTTCAAATATTTGGATTTGACCATTCCAAACAACAAAAACCCTTGTCCAAATCCAACTGAGATTCCAAATGAGTACACAAAAGTGTCTTCAAACTGCATTCTCTTGTCATTATTATGGAGTTTGTAGCATTTGCCAACAAAAAAATGCTTCACTTGTTGAGTAGCCTTTTCAAAGTCTACGGACTCTATAACTGGTATCAGATTTGGATTGCCAAATATTTGGAGAAGGCAAATATTGATCGATATATGAGTGGACAACTACTGAAATGTTTATTAGGATTGGTAGTATCTACTCTCTATTTAGCATGGATTCGAAAAGAGAATTACATGGGACTCGACATTTCCGACACGAACTTTTTCTCCCGATTGTGTCATGTTCATGATCCTTTTTTTAATAATTTATTCGGAACAAAACCAAGTCCTCAAATACTTTCAAATGTCATACATATGACTTGGATGGATTGGTTTAATTGTGCTACATTGGGATATTTCGGAATGTGGTTGAAAGGTCATTTTGAGAGTATCTTTAGTTTTCCTTTCTTGTTTTCACTTGTTCCTTTTGAAATGTATTTACTGTACGATTTGATTTCTAGTGGAATGCATTGGCATGTGAATGGAATTATGTACTATTTATTGTGGGCCCTAGTATTGTATCATTTATGGCACAAAATTAGATATCCAAAATCTAATAACACTGGAAAACCAATGGGCACATCAATGTTTCTAATGCTTTCAGCATTTGCTGCTGCTCTTGCGCTGGACTTTTGGTTTGAGATTGGCTTGTTCAATAGAATATTTGGTCCTGGTATATTTGAACAGAAGGACGATCAAAAATCACAACAACAACACAATTTTCCACCCTTCATGCCACAAGAATCACAAGAAAATCCAGATAAGTTTAGAAGAATGGCAAACTTCTTACGAGAAGAGAGTTATTGGCAAAAGCAACAACAATTACACTCTAAGGGCTCTCGCATAATGAACATGAATAGATTTCAGGAAATTTCAGATAGCAGTGACGATGAGGATGAACCTCCAGTTTTAGAAGACATTTCTGAGGGTGAGATTTCTGTAGAATAATTGTTGACAACAAACAAATATGAACTCATCTATTTCACTAAACTAATATTTTTCCACAAAGATGCCACCCCAAATTGAGATTACCCTCAAAACAAAATTGGAAAAAAAACCGTTACACACTCAAGAAACAACAATTAAAAAAAATGTCCATTGACAAGAATTTGCATGAGGAAACAACATCTTCCTCGTCGTCATTCGAACAAGCCAACCACTCAAACCTATCAAAAAACATCAGCACAGGTACTTCTTCTCTCATCACTACCTCTCACGTTCGTCTTCCATCTCCTCCTCCTTCTCTCTCTCTGGCCAATTCTTCAACTCCTATTTTTGGTGCTCTCCAAAAAGCTGCTACTCTTGCCCACACAACAACTGCACCACTGCTTTCTGAATCAACGATAGTACAGCCCTCGAGCTCAGCCATGATTATTCCTTCAAATTCTGTGCTGTTGCAAAAACGACTTGAATTTTTGGCTCCTTCCGATGATCAGAGTATCAGTAGCGATGACGACGATGAGGAGAAACAAGAATTGACAAGTGGCAGCATCTCTGCCTCCACTCTAAAACAAGAACCTTCCGAGAAATGTACTTATTCTGGTGATCATCATGAGAATACCATGACGACCGCCAATAGAAGCAAACGTTCTGATTCATTCCTCTCATGGTTCAGTTGGCTGTCATGGTCTACCACCAATTCAAACCAAGAAACAAACTCTTCGAATGGTCACGATGGTAATTCAAGTTCCAAATTTCCTTCTGGGAGTAGTGAGACCAACAACAGCATTTCAGCTCCTTTTGCATTCGAACATCGAATTCATATTGATAAGGATCCTTCATCGAATGACACTTGTTTTCTTCATTCTTCTTCATCAACAACAAATACGAATTCACTCATTACTGATATTTCTCTCACTGTATTTGAACAACGAGAACGTATTCGTCAATTAGAACGTGAGAATGAACTCAAGAATGAATACATTCACGAATTGGAAAAGAAAATTCGAGAAATGCATGAAAAAAAACTTCGTTCACGTGAAAAGTATCACAAATTGAAAGACAAGTATGAAAAGTTGAGAGATTTTGCATTTGGAGGAAGTGTGGCTTCTGAAACTTCTACAAACAGTGTGAGTCCACCTACATTATCTTATTTGACATCGAGGACGATAACTATGAATCCAAAAAGTCATAATGGAGGTGTTTCATCCACACCAGAATTGGATGCATTATTAGAGAAGATGCAATTTCAAGAGGATTGAGTTGTTTTTAAAATTTATTGAGAGAGACGTCTTTAAATTTTGAGAGTTTCGAAGCGAGATTTGCACGATGATCCACCACAATGGTATCGAATGCATTCTCCAATTCATTTTCAATTTTTCCAATTTGTACATTTGAGGGATCATCCACACATACCCTTATTCCTACTGACCAATATCTATCGTTTCTATCCTTTTACAAAAGGTTAGTATCTGTTCACCTTGTATTGGGTGATGGTGATTGGCTCATCCTCTGATCGAGGTTTCAACACACATAGAGTTCCAAGTTTACGCGTCTGAACTCACCACACTTTTGATGATGTGATGGGCAATTCCAATTTTTTTTGATGTGAGATAAAAATAAAATAAAAATGGGAGAAACAGCCGCCACCCTTAATTCATCATCAAGGAAAAAGAAGTCATCATCATCAGCCTCATGGTGAAAGTCATTCCAGGATCAACCAATAACAACAAGAAGAATAACAACGTTAACACAATTCAGAGTTCCATGAACGACACTTCTCCTCCTTCAACCTCATCTTCCGAACTTTTAAAAAAGCAAAGAGACGCACCAGTAGTGATGGAGGTTGTTGTTGAAGAATGTAGTGTGGATGATGATGAAGAGGAGGATGATTCTGTTGAATTTGAGGAAGAGATTGATGAAGAATGCCATCCGGATGAGATGATTGATGAAGAGGATGATCATGATGAATCTATTGAGGAAAACGATGAAGAGAATGAGGACATTGAGGAGCACGTTCCAACACCTCGGCATTGGCACCTCCAGAAGGATCAACTTCGTTACAGAGCAGCACTTAATGGTAACGTCTTCTTTTCCCACATTCCGAAACGATTAGGAGAGGTTTTTCATGTGGAGTGGTGGTATTACGTGTCCACAGTGAATCACACCTCTTTGCCAATATGTGTCGATCGAATTGAAGGATATGACCAGTTGGAACCGAATGATTTCCCATTGTCGAATGATGTCCGAGTGGGAACTGCCATTCACTTTCGAGATTATCAATTAACTCTGGTGAATCCAACGAGCTGCTGGCAACAGTCTTCAGAGATGACTGTTACCTATCATGACAAGCTTAGTTTGTTCTGGTCCAACTACTTTTTTGATCACTACAAGGTGTTGAGCAGTGTGGGGTTCCATCAAGAGAATGAGGAGAAGATGACCACTAACCAAGCATCCTCAAGTTCCCAAAAGTCTCTTCTGAAGAAGCATTCAAGAATGATCAATGCTTGGGCTTTTCATTCGAGACAAATCTATAGCCATGAGAAAGCTCGCAAACAGGTCCAGCCATGTATGTCTTTGGTGGGGAGAACCAATAGTGGAGGATCGTCACGTCGAATTTACTCGACTCCAACAGTGGAAATTTCTCCCTCCCCTGAGCCTCTTCTCAGCAGCGACCATACAGAAACACCTCCTCACCAACAAGAATTAAGGACAGATCCTGGTTATTCATCAGACATTGATGAAGACATTGGTGAGGACAGTGCCACAACGTTCAAACAGGATGATCAACATGAAGTCAAGGGCCCATTTCTTTCGAGCTCATTCTTGAGGGAGCAATGGGAGATTCTCACCAAAGATATTCAGGAATTTTTCTCTCACTAGATGTTTAAATTGGTTTGTCAATGTATGTAACAGTAAATGTACATCGTCTCCTAAATTTGTTGCTGCTTGCAAAACATCATGTCATGTCAACTGTCAAAGTCAAAAAAATTCAGGGATGGGTTTATTCGATGATAAACGTTGTTCGATGGTTTTATGTACATTATTTACAAGCCGAACGTAAGATACGTCTGTTTTGCTCATTTTTTTTGAACCTTCTCTTGCTCATTTTTTTTGAACCTTCTCTTGAAATGCTCGACGGTGTCTCATGTGGCGTTCATTGTTGCACATTAGTAGCAAAGATGAGGTTCAAGATGACCTTTCGATGAACAACATAATATTATGGTGGGTTAGCAATCACTCAAGAACACTCAAGAATTTTGAAGACCCAAAGTGGAGCAAAATTTAAAGAGCTGGTGTCATTTTGCATTTTAATGCACACTACTACCAAGAAACAGAAAGGTTTGTCCAAATGTTTTGAATTCATGAATTTACTAGTACGTGCACTTGATAGATAAACATCATTGTGAGACGGCTCGTTCACTGTTGATGTTATTATTATTGTTGTTGTTCTTCACTTTTCAAAAAGTGAAGGTCGACTGCGTTAGGCAATAATTCCTTCATACTACTCTCAATACTTGCTCCACTCTCTGAATTTACAATCAATATTGGAAAGTCCTTTGTGTTTTCATCAGCAAATTCTTGCAATACTTGTCGACAAGCTCCACATGGAGTTACGCCAATATTTGTAGAGACCACGACAGCCTTGATTGATTTACATTCGTCCGAGACCATTTTGAAAACAGCACATCGTTCTGCACAAATGGTAAGTCCATACGATTGATTCTCCACATTACATCCAGTATAGAGCTTTCCGTTCGTTCCGAGAATGCAAGCTCCCACATGGAATTTTGAATAGGGACAATAGCAGGCACCCCGGAAGTAAAGGTGTTTAAACTGCTCACGATAACAGCAGCAACCCCTGGCATTCGAACGCTGGACCAGTTGGCTGCCACAGTTCCAGAAAAACCACTCGGCCATATGCTATCCAGTGAATGACGATCACGTTGCATTGAAAGCTCCCACAAACAAACACTTGAAATTATGCAATCTCACCATCAAGACCGATCAAGTGAAAATTATTTTAATTGATTTTCATCAATCTCTTTTCTCTCTTTCATCATCGTTGGTGATGAATCAAGAACATTCTCTGATGGAAAATTTCCATATCAAACATCTCTATGATTTGTTGAAAAGAAAATTTGAAAATCAATCCAAAGGATTCACAAAATGGTTACTCGCAAGGAAGAAATGGTTGACCACATTTATTGACAGATATTCAATGAAAATCGAATTCGTAAACGATTACGAGTGTACGCTTAAATGGGCAAGAAGAAAACATAAAAATGTCCCTGAAAATGATTGGTTGGAGTTAATGATGGTGCAAATCATTGACATTAGAGAGTTATATGAAACTAATCAAGAACAATTTCATTCTGTTGAATTTTGGAAACCTTTTCAAGAAGAAGTTTGGTTTCTATTACGCTCGGGCCGATATGAAATCTTGGATTACATTCCGGTTGAGATTTTCATTCAATTCAAAGAATGGAAAGAAAAGTTGGCACATTTATTTCAAATAAGGTGTCGATTTGATTTTGTATTTGATCTTGATGACATTGACAAAGCAAAGAAAGCAATTAGTGAGAAGCGTTGTCAGATGTTTCAAATTTCAAAACGACTGAGAGACAATGAGGATTTTATGAAACATGCAACTAAATGCCAAGCTTATAATATTCAATATGCATCTGAACGATTGAAAAAAGATCGAAATTTCTGTTTGGATGTTGTTTCGTCGAATCCTGATTTGTTGTCGTTTATAAATTTTGTGGACAACGAATTCGCTCTCGAATTACTTCGAATTACTTTGTCAAAGACTATCATTGTTGATGGAAAAATTCAAGAGGAACAAATTCAAACTTGTGTTCCACAAGCATGTGATTGGTTGTCTCTATCGTTTTGGGAAACAAATATATCCATGGATGACAAGATGAAGATTTTTCAACTTTTATTTCTCAAAGATTCAAGAATTTCTTATCGCCATCACAAGGATCTAATGAAATCAGCACTTCAAATGCTTGTTGAATTGCCAGATGAGTATTATCAAGCACACCACAATCATCAGCACACTCTCAATGA